AGTCCCTCTCCAGCTCTCTTGGAGCCCCTTTAGGCCCTGCCAGGGGCTCTCAGCTCTCCCTGGAGCCTTTTCTTCTCTGAGTAAAGAATTTCTTCCTACTATTTGGGCCAAATAAACTAAAAGCCCTTGGTGCTTCCAGCCTGGCTTGGGAAGAGCCTGAGGAATGGCAAACAGCTGGCAGGAGCAGTGGGAGCAGGACGTGGGAGCTGCCCTGTCCCAGGTTATCCCTGTGCCCTGAGGGACACAAGGCAGGGCCGTGATCCCAAGGGCACAGATCCCATCGGAGCAGGACCAGGGAATGCCCGAGGCAGCAGTGCCCTCACTCTTGGTCCCAGGGGTCCCCTGGCACTGCCCCAGCCCCTCTGGATGGCACATACCGCCTCACAGATGGCCTCCAGGTGCAGGGCCTCCAGCTTGTGGGTCATCTCCCGGTGCCGCTGCCGGAACCAGCCGTCGAAGTTCGGGGACTTGAAGAAACGCCTGCAGGGAGAGAGGGACGGGAATCGTGGAGTCATGGAGCACTCTGAGCTGGAAGGGACCCCTGGGACCAGCCAGTCCAACTGCTGGCCCTGCACAGGACACCCCAATATCCCACCATGTGCCCGAGAGCTCCATGAGGTGACGCTGGGAAGGGGACAGGGGGATCCAGAGCCGGCTCCGGGAATGCCGGGCCCTGGCATAGGCTGAGCAGAGAGGGGCTCCCCGGCCCTGGAAGTGTCCCAGGCCAGGCTGGACAGGGCTTGGAGCACCCTGGGCTAGTGGGAGGTGTCCCTGCCCATGGCAGGGGGTGGCACTGGATGGGCTTTAAGGTCCCTTCCCACCCAAACCATTCCAGGACTCTGGAATTCCATGATTTTTGTTTCTGATCACTTTCTTGGATTTTTTCCCTTCTCCTTTTCCTTCCCACTGAGTATCCAACTTCTGGATTCTTTCCACTCACATTGTACTGTCCTTTCCATAGCATTCATATTTAATTAGCCTTACTGTAACTGTGGACAAACTCTCTCTGCTCATTAAGGCCCACAAACCACTGGGTTCACTCTGACCTGATGTTGCTCTTCCTGACCATTCTGAATTAATCAATTCATAGGATAAGTTCTGCAGGTGATCAGTCCCAAAACTCCCTCTTTGCTCCCAGTCCTAATTCAGGGTTTGATGTTCATTATAACTAATAACTGTTGATGGGATAAGAGAATGAATGCCCCAAATCCTACCTGTAGAGGCCTAACCAGTCCCCCTTGAGCACACAGGTGAGCTGGGGCCCAGCGTGTTCCAGGGTCTTCATGAAATCCTCCTGACAGAAGGGACGGATCTGGGGAGGGTTCTGCACACACAGAGTCCAGGTTAGAGAACTCCAAAAGAAACCAGGAAAGCGAGGCCTGTATTTACACTGGAAAAGGTGCACAAGGCACAGACTCGGAATAAAACTGCAGGAACACCTTAAGGTTAACCTTCCAACGAAATTCCCAAAGCTCAGCTCATGGCAAAACAGGAAACATCTGTCCCAAGGTTTGTTTCAACTTCTTTATTTTAGTTTTAAAGGAGTAACAGCCCTCTTCCTTTAAGGAGGGACGTTACATGGAGTATCAGAGCGTGTGACCAGCACGTGGGGCAACAATTCCCAACCCTGCAGTCACAGGGAAGAAGGAGCAACTGGAAAACCCAACCTACCTTCCAGGGAGTGATGGCTCTCTGCAGAGGCATCAGGCTGGCAATATAGTGCTCCTGAGAAGAAATAAACCCCAGAAATTAAAATAGTGATAAAAAAGTTCCAACAATTGAGGAGCCTCTTGTGAGGTCACAGAGTTTGAGGGTTTTCTGCAGAGCATCCCAGGCCCAACAACGGCCTCATACTTTGGGTTTTTCCTCCATTTTTTCCTTCACAGTTGCATTTTATGTGAGTCCAAGTGTCCCAGCTGGTTTCCCACCAGGATCCAGGTCACAAAATGCTGCTGCAGGAACCCCAAGTGTGCCATGGGAGAACAGGTGAGGTGGGAAGAGGTTGGCAGGAGGGACTGGAATCCCTGGCACTAAACCCCCTGGACGGGGCTCGGAGCAATCTGGGCTAGTGGAAGGTGTCCCTGCCCATGGCAGGGGCTGGGATGAGTTGAAGGGTCCCTTCCCACCCAAACCATTCCAGGATTCCAGGCTCCTGAGCCTGTCACAGCCGCTGTTACAGGGAAGAGCAAACCCCTCGCCCTCCTGTGCCCTCCCCTCTGCCCTGGGGACTCCCTGGCACTCACCAGGGGAATGATGAAGCTCTGGGTGAGCTCCAGGAGGTGACGCCTCAGCAGGGCACTCTGCACCTCGGAGGGACGTTTCCTCTGGATGCCCTGGAAGCACAACCCCCCCAGGGTCACTGGGGTGTCCCCCACGGACACGGGACAGCCACGGGGCTGGGACTGGGCTGCCAAGCACAGCCCCCAATCCCCACTGAAACACCCTAAAGCTGCAAATGGCACTACACAAAACCTGGGGTCTGGGCTGCATTTTGGTATCAATTCTTCTCACTCAGGGCATCGTTAGAACCAGTGTTTAATCCTTAATATCATGTGAAAAATCCTAAATCTGGCACGAGAGACATGTCCAAATACACCCAACTAAATCACTGCCCACTGCAGAGCCTGCTCCTTTTGGAGGGTTCTGTCTGTTTGAACCAAGCTGGTGGCACAGATTTCCCACCCAGGATGCAGGAGACAGTGGGAAGTGCTTACCTTTAGCAATCTTTTTATCAGGGATTTGTCTTTGTGAAGGAATGTTTTATAAGAAGTGTAGATTCCTAGATTGGAAAAAACCATAAAATCAGGAAAAAAAACAGAAATGAGAAACAAATTTTTGCCTGTTTCTCTGGAGGAGACACTGTCACACAGTGCAGGGAGGACAGGACTGAGATCCCCAGCACAGACCCTGGGAGCTGTGTGTGCAATCACAAAAATCATTAAATCATTGCAAAATCATGGAATTGCTAAGGCAGCCAGTACTCACAGCAGGATTAAAGGGCTCTGAACTGCCTCCAGCACCTTCTTACACTGAGTTTATGGTGAGAGAACTTCCTGGAGGCAGTTTTTGGCAGGGTCTGGGAGGGACCCTCAGCTGTGACAGCTGAGCAAGTTCCCCTCACTGCCATCACACCTAAACAGCAGGTGTGGTACACAAAATAAACCCATGGAAACACTGGGATAATGTGCTACAATAATTCAAATTGGCTTTTTCCACCCCAAAGAACAAAGGTGTGCAGTTTTCCTGGATCAGGGGTGAGGAGGTGGCAACACCAACACACCCACTCGTTGGGAAGCAAAGAACGATGGACACAACGTTCTCATTCCTGCAAAATCCTCCCCAGGGAAGGGTAAACAAGATTGGATTGTGGCTGAGAAGAGGACTGACCTGGTTTTGTGTCCAGGGTTTTGAGCTTGGCCAGTTTCTTCACCTTCACCTGCTTGGGCAGGTCACCTGTGACAGACAGGGGTGACAGTTCAGGCTCTGCCTCTGCCCCTGGGAGACACTTTGCCCTTGAGAACACCCAGCCCTACACTTGTCCATCCTAACTCACACCCTCCCTCCCCTCTACCCTCACAGAAGTCTCATCTCACTGTCCTGCTACCATTGTGGAACAGGGATGTGTTAAGGAGGCACTGCACAAAACCAGCTCCTCAACCTCGAGGTTTCTTGGTTTCACAGTTAATAATTCAGTCTCTCCCTCCACCTTTTTCTTGTTCTCAAGGCAGTTTTCTCTTTCCTGCCCAGGAAGGGCTTCTCCTTTTCTGAGAAGGAAAACACAGCAAATCACCCTCACCAGAACCTGTCCCTCCCACTGCACCACCCTGCACGTGGCCTGAGCCCCCGTCCACACCTCCCCTGGCTTCACAGGAATGAAGATGAGTAAACTCACAGCCCCTGCAGCTCCCTGCCAGCCCCCTGCACAGCCCACCAGCCCCACAGGACCTCGGTGCCACCCTCACCTGACATCCTGAGCTCCCCCACCCGCAGGATGTGCGGCCAGTGCTGGAGGGTTTTGATAAAGAAAGGGTTTGTGACGCCCACCACGATGTTCGGCCTGGAGAGGGGGGAGAAGGCAGGACAATGGAAACATGGGGGGGTCTCCTCACCCAGAGGGGCAGGAGGGGCCCGGGGGTACTCACGGGGCCTGAGTGCGGGTCGTGTACTCCTTGAACTCGCTGTCGTGGATGGTGAAGTAGGGCCGGAAATCGCAGCAGTACCGGAGCGGGGCCAGGACACTGC